AGTGAATCTAACAGAAAAAACCTTTAACACGTGTTAATGTACCACTGCACTACAAACAGCTATGCTTTAGCGTGGGATCAATGGGTTAAATCTGACTTACGTACAATTCGCGTGATGTAAAGGCTCCCGGAACGTAACTGTAACGTAGATCGGCGTCTCTCTGTAATTAAATTATACAAGCTCGAATGAATATAATCGAAGGACTACTGCAAGGCCTTCTTCAATTAAACGATCTATGTTCCATTCACTCTGACATGTGATGTGCAGGTAATCGATCTTCCGTTCAGCTTACCAAGTTAGCAGCTGACCAGCCAATGAAGAGTGGTAGGTTCTCTGCAGATGATCGAACCATATAAATATTCTGCCCTTCCAAGATTTGACGTTTTGACTAAGTGACTGACAGACCGATCGAATGATTGAAATATTGGCCGAATGAATGAGTGATCTGATACGCGGGCAACAAGGTACGAATCAACCAGTTTAATTGAGAAAACATATAGGCAAATGCAAATCTTTGAAACTAAACAAAAGTTTGCATAAAACAAAAACAATTAGGCACGGCTACAAAACTAAAACAAAACAATCAATTAAGTAAAACATGCCTAATGTAAGCAGGTATTTAGAAAACAATAGTCGCTCAGCAATGTAACACTTCTTCTATAGCGTTTATGCGTTTTGGACAACTTTTGGTCAGGACTTCAGCAGACGTATCGGTAAACGCGACGTCATCTTCAATCCTCATACCCATGCCTCGGAACTCTTTTGGAAACCTGGTATTATCAGCAGGAAAATACAGGCCCGGTTCTACGGTAACGACCACGCCAGGAACGAACGGTCTGCTTTTCGGAATGTCCTCCGTATCATGAACGTCCATGCCAAGGTAATGGCCGACATGATGAGGGCAGATCTTTTCTACCTCTGCTACGGTTTCCGGATCAGCCAGATGCGACGGTATGACACCCAAGCGTTTCAATCGACCGCCAAGCTGAACCAGCATCTCGAAGTACATGTTGCGCAGCGTGTTCAATTCATGACTCTGCAGCTTGGCAATGATCAGCTGTTGTACCTCCAAAAGACACTCGTAAAGCGCAGCTTGGTGGGGATTGAAACGGCCAGATATGGGCCATGTGCGAGTGATGTCCGAAACGTAGCCGCCTACCTCGCACCCGGCGTCCATCAACAGAAGTTCGCCAGGTAACACTCGCTTAAGGGAAAATTCATCATTAAGCAAATGTTGAAAAACTATCGATAGAAGATGAATCACTTATTAACATTTTAATGAAGAACAAATCTTGCAATTCAGCGAGTGAGGGAGGGGGACAGGGATGGGAGTCAAAACACATTATGAACAATCTCGCGTTATTGAAAGAAAAAATATCTTCCATGATCAGGGCTAACGCCAGACAGGCAAAAAACAGCGCTATGTGACAACAACTTTAAATAAGATTAAAACGTAGAAAAAAATCAAAATGCGGTACCTCGTTAACCATGTCATCTGGTACTTGAGGTTTCACTCTGACAAATGCGACCCTCTGTAATTCAGTACCCACGACATTCAGTAATTCCTTCACTTTTAATTTATCGATTGTTGACCATCGAAGTGATACAGAGGGATGTTGCTTTGATCCATTTCTTTACCTGAATGAAGCATCTTCTGGACATTCCAAATACAAACTCTAAATGAAAGGTGTCGGTCTCCCTTGTCAGGACGTCAATTTCCGTTCAGAGGACAAAACACACCATGAAAATAGTCGATCGTGCAAACTCAAGGGAATAATACGTACGGTGACTACTTACCATTCAATGTATGACGTGAAATTTCGAGAACACGTAATGACAATGCGATTCTTCAGAATCATATTCGATATCTTTACACTATATTCACAAAGAAGTTCATTTTCCTTGGATCTGCCCTCGTTGTTGGCGCCCTGTAAACTCGAATCAACGTTCCTCCAATCTTCCCTCTTATTACACATTTTTCGTGAGGGGTTGTTCGACAGTCCATTCGAGATGCCAATCTTCGTCAACTCTGTTCTAACAAACGATCAAAAACAACGCTTGAACTGCGTACAGCAGGATGGGCTTCGACGCGTAAGAAATTATTGTTCTACTTCGAGCAGAAGTACCAAGTCAAAGTAAGTAAATTGACGCGGTTAGGTAAATTATTTACCTAGCCCTAACAAGATTAAAACCTTCATAACAGCAGATCACTTCGTATGGACAACTGCAATCATTGAATCAATTAAGGCTAACAAAGGATAATCATGGGGAGGGAAGAGAAACTTAACTGATCAACTTGAATGCAAGGCTGATGCGGAATCAACAGTGGTTATGAACTCATTGATTCCGCAAGAGCGAGATAAAAGAAAAGTATTTACGCAGATTTAACGAAGGTCTATAAACTTTATTTTTAAACCAGTGTTTAGGTCCAGTAAAAATTATATTTCAAAAACACTAGCAACTTTTACAAAGCACTATTTAAAAAAGAATATCAATTTTCAGAAAGAATTTCGATTCCGTGTTTAAACTGAACAGATCTTGAAGTGTTTTAAATTCATGAATTCAGCTGAACAACCGGGCTCAACGACTCAAAAAACTCAGGATTCTCAAGAACAGATGATGCTGAAGAATTGTTTTCTAACAACTGTCGCTATTAATTACTGTTCAACGATGTATATGAGCAAAAAACGAGAAATTTGGCAACGAGAGGTAGAGTCTACAGGTAGTCAAAGGAATAAAATTTTTTGCAAAAAAATCTTGATTTGCAGACGAAAAACAGAAGAAGTCAAGACTGCATTGGATAGCCAGCAATCAGGAAGGTAAAGGCGAAATGCAGTCACAGGTGGCACTCATCTTTGACAGCATCGACACATACCTGGTCGATTCCGATATTACCGCACAACAATATGATACTGTCCCCATTATTCGAAAGTCATCGATTCACTACTCGTTTATCGACCGATCGCGTAAAGGTGCACAACATGGGTTAAGACAAAGATTGCCCGGCATCTGGAGTTCTATTTACCATTGTGCCACCATATCCCATGAGTAGAAGAGGAATAAGTAAACATAACTAAATGTGCTGTCAACCGTACCTGGTTAGCGTCCAGGTAATGAATGGTGTTGGCACGATTGCCACCGGCTACGACCGGCGGGTAGGCCAAACGATCGGCGCCCAAGCAGCGACATTCGAAGTCCATCTTGGCGTTTAGGTGCGACTCTTCGTTGGTCATCGTCGAATAACGCATGGTCTCTGTGAGCGCTTGACAGCCGATGAGTGATGCCTTGCGCATCAGTTTCATTTCAGCTTCCGACTTCACCCAGCGCATTTCTTGAATAGCCTTATTTGGGTTGAGGCTGGTCACCGAAAACATGCGCAGCGAGTCGAGCACCGGACCAAGACGCTGGTTGAGTTTACAGATCGGATTTCTGTTCAACCACACTACGGGCAACGTTTTGCTGTGCCGGGCGAGGAACTCT